TACGTCATTCGCCAATGATCTAGGTGTTATTCGGAATAGACTCAACAATAAATGCCCGTCGCATATGTAATACATTATACGGTACATACATACCTAGCATACCTAGCTAGAGTCAACAACGTCTTTGCTTGTCTTCTCCGCGTTTTGCAACTAACTAACCTACCAGCCTACCTAGCTAACTTAACTAACACTGGCCTCGGAACTTTGGAATCAGCCGGATTAGGTCATAGATTGGCGATCTCTCGATGATAGATGATGTTGATGATAACCGCACGACTTACACTACCTACACCACAGTGCTACAGCCATTTCCGAGTTGACTTCTGTGCGAGATATGTCAAGTTCCACGATCTGCAGTGCCCAGATGTCGTCCCCGACGCCCAGGATGCCGCGTACGACGAGATGGGGTCTTCGATACGCTGTGGTTTGCCCAAGCGCCCCCCGCAGATGACTCCGAAGCCGAAGGGGGGGGAAGAGAAGCTGGCTCTACAAACGCACCCTAGGTAGAATAACTAAATAAATAAGTGCCAGCCAATCCATTCCCGCGGGTCTCTTGGCGCTGTTGCCAGACTCGAGATACGGAACCCCCATGGCCCGTGGCCCATGATCATGTAGTGCAACTGGAAATATAGCAAACGTACGTACACAGCAAAGGGCCAAATTACAAATCTACAATTCCTTTTCTACGCGCATAAGCACAAGCCCCGAACCAGCAGCTCACACGATGACCAATGACTAGGTGAAGCAGATACGGGTAACATAAAAAAAAAGATGAAAAAGAAAAAACAACGGCTTGTCTCTGCGGGCGATCACTGGCGATCTCGAGAACTAGTGACCTGACACATACATTTTATGATTCGAAACCTCTTATCTGCAACGCGCACAACAGCTGTCTTATATTATTGTGTCTCCGTAGGGTGAAACTGAATCAGTCAGTCAGCGATTAACAACATTGCCAGCCGCAGCTAGCCTCGCTTTTTTTATACTCCTTTTATATATACAAATCCCACTTCTTATTGCAGGACCAACCTAGTAAAGAACTAACGTCTTAGAGATATACTCGCTCTATCTTCGCTTATACCCTCTATGTAGATGCTATGTATTATAGCGCTACCGTGTATAGCTCTATGTATACACATGGCTGTATCGTTACCCGCTAGACTGAGTTTGCTACTATGCAAGAAGCTCCAGCTACTCTATGGCGTCCATGCTAGTAAGATGTTTGGATGTCTGCAAGCTAGTTGTTGGTAACATAGGGGCTCCGAGATCTCCATCAAAAACACAATCCTGGGTCCTGTGGGCACACGAATTCGAGCCGTTCCGAGCTTACGACGGTCGCCGTCATGATAAATAAAAATCATAGAATTAGTCATCCAAGTCAGATATACGGATCCCCTGCCATGAAATTTGTTGGAGCATAGCCGCGTAGCCCAATTGTTTGCCAATGGCACCGACCGGTGTGGATGAAGGAGTGTGTTGTCACGCCTCCTCCTTGTTGTCTTAACAGACAACACGAATATTTTCGGCTAGGACGGGTTCTGAGCTCACTGGAGAAGAGTCTTCGCCAGACCTTCTGTTGTTCCGAAAAAACGCGCCGAGCAGACTGCCGGCTTTTTCGCAACGTCTGGATACCGTCACTGTATCATCACTAGCATCTGGAGTCCCGCACCTATTAAATGACATATGAGCCGTTCCCGAGGCTCGAGATATTCGGAAACTTATCCGCGCGCTCCCTATGGCGGTGCTTTATCTTATAGACGAAGGCGGCAGCAAGAATCTGATGATAAAAGCCGCGTCCGCACAATCATATCACCTCAGGCTCTCCCTGTCAAATAAAATGCAACACAAGGCTAGGTGCACAGAGTTGCAGTCCGATCTCGTATGTCTTCTCCACTTCCTGCGTGCATACATACATATGTATGTATTCGAGCAATAAGTTGTTGTCTTCCGCTTTCGTCTGGAGCAAGACCTCCTTGAATGGACTAGTGTCTCCTGTGGGTGGTGTATTTCGCAATAGATGGCTTTTCACCGGTGAAACAGAAAATTGAGAATGGAGTCATCGGATAGGTCATGTTTGGTTAGGTAGCATAGGTAGCATATAGGAAGCCTTGGCCTCGCATCAAAGCTGACCATGAGTATCAAATTTAGGCATAGAAGAGGATATTCATACGGCAGAGCAACTGTGGGTTTCATCGAAGGCCGTACATAATCAGCCCTGCTCATTAGAATCCGTCACGTAAAATCTTATATGCATCAGGGTAGCTATCAGGCTAGCTATCAGGGTTGATATTGTGCTGAGACGGCGGGGGGGCTAGGTGTAATAGGTACTGGTGCTGCAAGTCGCGTTGATTCCCTTGCCAGTAACAACTGGTATTAAGCATGAGGATGAGTTAGCGCTGTGTAGCTTCGAGAAAGACGCTGAACTATTATCCAATAGGCCTCTTCAATCCATCCACAAAGACAAACTCAGAGTTGCAATCATGCATGCTTATCTGCATGAACGATATTCGGCTATCGCACCGGGGTCCGTCTTCCCCTTCAATTTATACAACCTCTAGACAGAAAGTGATACCACTCCTCTTCGACAAGGGGACAAGGGGAGTATGAATTAGATAGGCTTAATTCTTGACGCCTCCGCTGGTTGGTGCGGTTCCCGACGCAGTGCGTGCCGTAACACATCAACCGAGTATTTCGCACGAGGTGTGGATAGTAGTATCCCACGGCGGACCTGGTGATCCGCGCTCGAGAAACGTTCCACGGCACCGCGATCTTCCTTACCAGGCGCCAACAAGCAGCATATTATATTAGCATAGCATCCCTGTGCTGCGCCTTATGTATGTCGTGATCCACTTGTGGCGGCCAGTCCCGCCGTAAAATAATCACAGACCTGGCTAAAGTTGATATATTCACATGTGTCTCGCTGCAGTGGACCGCTTGGCTTGCATGTATATTGCTCAACAGCATCCTAGCGCCTAACATGGTAAGCCGATGATACGGGGGTCTATTTACTGTGTTGACGGTCTTGTCTGATCTTGATTATACTCGGGCGTCAAATGCCACTTCAGGGGGCACTCTAAAGGATGCGCAGAACATGCGTTTGTTAGGTGCCACATTTCTGGTTTCTAAAACGGATACCTCTTTGGCATTTTCGGCCTCGCCTAACTTCATCTCGACGCCTGTCTCCGCCGAGATGCGCTCGCAGATATCCCTGAGTGGCGTATCATCATCTGCCTTAGCCGCGAAGCAATAGACGTGGACCATGGGTAGCCTCGTACTTGTGTGGGGAACGAAGAGCTCTTCCCGTGCGGCGTAAAGACCGCGGAAGTACGATAGAAAAGTAATAGCGGATGCAGGAAGGTTCATAACGAAATGAGAGATCGTTGGCGGAATTGGTGTACGTTTAGGTTTCGGGTTGGGCGTTGACTTGTCAGTAGTGTTTGAATTCGGATGTTGACTGCGTCTCAATTTTCTACTCGGTCCCGAGACGACGTATTCACCCTTAGTTGATGCTGCGTATACCAAATCGGCTGCTTCTCTGATGAACGCCCGTCCGTCTCGATTGAATGGCCGTACATATTGGTGGACCTAGGGGTAATTTGTTAATTCGGTTCAAGACATACTGTGTACTTCTTTCATTCGACACTCACCTTGTTCCGTTTGATGTTTTCAGCCATATAGCGATAGCTCTCAGGGTTATAGTCATTAGCCCAGACAAAAACCCCTTTCTTACCAGCAGGTATTGCAAATGGGCCAATACCGGCCATCACATCGCATACCACTTCACCCGGTCGAAAGATATTGACTATCCGCCTGTGTTCACCCTCCAGCTTACTATTCCAATACACTTTAGAGTAATCGAATCGGAATAGGCAGTCATTCTCTCGCACCTCGACATTTAAGTCATCCGGACCGGCAAGGACTTCATATGCAAACGTCCGGAATTCTGATTCAGTTCCTACGTTAGCGACTTTGTTGATAACCGTTTTGACTGCTGGGTTTTTATCGAGTATAACCTCTGCGATGAGTTTCTTGTATGGCAAGAATGCTTCCCTCAGATTCATGTGCGCAACATGTCCTGCCTGGTTGAATCCTCCGGGAATGCCATCATGTTCGTCCCGTAGGTCAGGGGGGAGCAGAGATCGCATCACATCCTCTAGAATAACCAGTTAATTATTGCGTTGATAAATACCGAAAAGTTAATGTATATCTGTTACCATAAGACCAGTAGTCATAGTCCAACGATAAGTTATACGGGACTATTCCTATCTCTTTACTAGCTACACCATCTTGAAGAGAGGATGTCCATGTTTCAGGCACTGCAAGTAACACCGTTAAGTAATGCAATCAACCACAATGCACTTTTCGGACCAACGTTACCTTCGGCTTTAACTTTGGGGTTTAAGAGTAAGCATTTTGTGCCCTGCGCTGCGAGGGTCTGGTCCGGGTGGGCTACAACGCCGGGTATCCTCTCAAAAGCGAGAAGAGTATCCTCGCTCTGTAGTTTCTGACGCCAGACGGATATTTTCTTCCTGTCGGCGACTGCAGCAGCAGCAAGGTTGACCGTCTTAGAGAAGAGCGACCTGTCAAGGACACCGAAAGCCGAGCGTATGGTTGGCGGCCGGAGGAGACTGCTCATGTCGTCGCCCTCGGCGGTTATATCCTTTAGAAAGTAAGCAAGGGAGCTAAATTAAAATAAATTAAAATATGAAGGGATCCGTATACCACCATAATATTATAGTTTTCTAAGAGGGATTCTGAGATGGCGCCTACGAAGTTTTAAATAGATCCTTTGATGCTCTGATGGTTTGTGCAAAGAAGATCTACCCCAGGATCGACAAAATTTCGACAGGGATAAGGCCCCACGCTAAAACTGCTAAAACTGCTAAAACTACTAAGACGCAAGGCTGCCGCGGCTGGAGTTTGTGTGCGACTTGGATGCGTCATACCAAACGGAAGGCTGCGTGGGCTAATGGTGTTTTCTACGTTCTTGCCTGTCTGACCTGTCTTACCTGTCTTACCTGATAATGCATATATGAATATGATAGGTTCGAGGGAGTCAATTGACTGTGCTCCTGACATGAATTAGGTTACTTAGGTACATTTTAATAGTCCTTATTAGCCTCTATTTACTCTAACAATAACATTTACATAGTACCTAATGCTAGCCAATACCGTAACGGCAATATCATACTCTTATCCCGAATGCGCCAACTCTCCTGCTAATTATGTACATACGACAAATATTCATAGCGGATACTTTTTTTTAGCTGTAAGGCTTCACTCTGCGCCTTGATCTAGGCAAACCTGCCAGTTCTATTTCCCAAGCTTGAAGGTTGCTTCCGTGTATTTCTGCAAACCTTGGAGGAATACTTGATAGGCTACACCCTGGTTATCAGGCGCGCAATAGATCTCAGTCAACCGGATTGGCCATGGCGGATATCCTTGTAGATCAACGTAAGGCTCAAACGAGATTAGGAGGTCCGGTTCTGGCATAACGGCTTCGGATAATTCATGGTCGAGAACATCTAATGTAATGTCCCCGGCCAATATCTTCTCTTGCTGTACCATATGGACCAGAACCTTGGTAAGATCTACCATAGCCTCTCGGCCGTCGTCTTCGGAGACAAGTATAACCTCTAGCGGAACCTGGTCTTGTCCATAAGACAGTCGATTTGCAGAATAAATAGGTGAGGCTCCACGAGTAATGAGGGACAGCGGCGGAACCTGGTGCTTTCCAAACCAACCCTTGAGCTTGTGTGCCAAGGCACGATGTGCCTGAGGCATATAGCGTTTAAGTATTCCTATACATGTTAGCTTTGTAATATTTAGCCCGAACTGGTAGAATCATAACCCTTACCTGTTCTCTCGTATACAGATAATCGAGGAATACCCGCCGAAGCACACCATGCTGCTACCTCGGAAGCTTCGTTGATGAGCTTTTCCAAGGCATCCCCAGCTCTTCCACCATCCTCCAATGTCAAGATTATACTAACGTGTTTAGGCAACCTTCTATATACGCTAACGTCTCTTCGGACATAATCTGGAGTGTTATGATGGTGTCCGAGTATGGAAAGGACCCGAAGGGTAACGGCATGGTAGGCTGTGCGAATTCGGATATAAACAGAGAAGATTGCGTGTACGATGATGTATAGCAATGAATGGAGCTGTGACTTGAGTAATTTCCTAACACCAAAGTGGGACGTCTCCCGCTTCCTCTTGCGACTCCGACTTGGTGATCGATTGGGCGGAGAGGGTAGATAATTCTATAATAATTGGACACGTTAGCAGATGTGTGGGCTCGAAGTTTAATGCACGTACCTGCACGAGCTTTTCTCGCTCTTTTGCACCGAGCTTCTTATGCCCGGCCTTCTCGTCCTCTCGATAGAGTTTCGTATCCTTAGAAGTGAACGACATGATGCCGTAATGGATGTAGTAGACTGTAGAGATTATGGAAAGAAAACGAGTGATGTAGGAATTTGAATTTGGGGGGTTAAGAAACAATTTCTCGCATAATATTAAGTCATAATATTAAGTGGTGAGAGAGATTCGCGTTTCAATCCGCAATTGAGAGGCTTAAGTTGTCAAGCCTGAATTATTTGGATCAGATGTTAAACAGCGACAGGCCACAATATAGTGTAGGTAGGTAGGTACTACCTATGGAAGGTAGGCCATCCATGTCACTAAAGCTCAGCCACAATTAACGTATTAACGTATTAACGTGGCGTCACATACAATTCTAGCAAGTACCTAACCTAACCTAACCTCTTATCGTTCCCATCATTTCTACCCTGTAGCATTACAGACATAGCTAGAGGATTAGGTACCTATGTACCTCAGCACGGTACATCGTACCCCTGCAGCCCGTCATGGCTACATATGTACCTACCTAAGGTACCTAGATTATTGAATCAAATCGATTTCGCCTTGTCGGCGCATTCCATTCAAAGCAACAACGACGCTTCCTAATTGCAATCACAGCCCATATTACCACCGCAAACCCCTCCTCACTTTCTACCTCGAAAGTCTGCCCTATGTTACAGGACAAATGACAAATTAACCATCGCTGCTTGATGCCATGGAACGGACAGGCTCCGGATCACGCGCTCTGTTCCCAAAGGGTCCCAGCTTTACCATCGAAGATTTCTCCAATAAGGACTTCATAGTCCGTGATTTTGTTGATGAACTTGCTGAGAATGCTGTGTCTTTCAACCGTCGTTCTGGACCAGCTCAACAACCCTTTGATCCGAAGCCCTTGATCCGGACTTTCGAGAGTATGTTGTTCCTCCATCCTCGTTAGTCTTGATACGAGCCGTATGCTGATACTTGTCGTTTAAGATGCATTGCAGGGCTTAGGCAACCTATCAGAGGAGCTACAAGCAAAGGAGTCGGATCTTCTATCACTAGCCCGCCGCGGAGAAACCCAGCATGACCAGACTGTCGAAACTCTAGGTCGCAAGTTGGAACAGTCCATCGATCAATTCGAAGCCCTCGATCTCACCCTTAATAACCCGAATGGAAATGAGCGAGGAAACCGTGGCGATGCAGGTGGAAATATCGCTGTCCAAATTGGAGAGAAGCTAGAAGAGCTGGATAGGAAACGAAGGCGGGCGCTGGACGCCAACTTTCTAATACAATGCTGGCTCCAAGTTAGCGAAACCGGAGAGCTTACACTACTACAAGATATCCAACGTCAAGGCGGCTCCGAAAACAAAGTGAGATGCGCCGTGATTGCACACCAGCTGATGCGTATTAGCCAAAGATTGGACCCTATTTCCTGGGGTCAGACGAATGGATTCCGCAACGGCTTCGCCAATGGCGATATCGACGATGATAGGAGATATAATACCCGTGAGATATTAGAGAAGTTTTGCGAAACACTAGAGCAAGACCTACTGAAGCAGTTTAACAACAGCTACCGTAAGCAAAACTTCGACGATATGAAGGAGTGTGCCAAGGTGCTATACGACTTCAACGGAGGTGCCAGCGTGATTGCTGTTTTTGTGAATCAACATCAGTTCTTCATTGACAGAGACCAACTTATTACCGACGAGGTGACGATGGATGGAGAAACGTGGGACCAGCTGGCAGATCCCGACTCTGAACCACCAGGCGTTGAGCCTAGCCTTCAATCACTTATTGACGAGGTTAAAATCGTCATGCAAGAGGAGTCGTTTATCATTAAAAGGGCATTCCCTTATTATGAAACAGTCCTGATCAAATTTATACAGCGTGTATTCCAGCAGTCGATACAACAGCGGCTGGAGTTGGTGCTAGAGAAAGCCAATACCATCTCATCATTGGCTTTTCTTCGATCCCTCCACTCCTCCAGAAGTTACATCGGTGCCTTGGTAGAGGACTTGAAGGCGCATGGCCTCACAGAGCATCCGGAACCTTGCTCCCCCCAAATATCCCAGACATTAGATCAGCAGATGGAGGAATTATTCGTCCCGTATATAGTAGGCAATTCGTATATCGAGCGCGAGAAGAGGAGCCTGGAAGAATTGTTCAATTCGCTGCTCTTCAAGTATAATATTTATCACTCCAGGAGGAAGAAGGCACCCACTGGTTTTATGGCTTCGTTAGCCCAACAGACCAACCAGCTCATGGCATCCGCTAAGGACGCGTATCTGGAGCGGCTTGAATCATCCGATCTCACCGCGACACAGAAAGCCATGATGTTGAGGGTTGCCGGTGTCCAGGAAAACGATAAGAACAAAAATGAAATCGAAGTTTCAGAGGCAGAGGGTGTTTTGAGCACAGTCATAGCAAAGAGGATGTTGACATGGCTTGCCGAAAGTGTCCGACGAACACTCGAGCTGGGCAGTCCAAGTGACACTCCAAAAGATGTCGCTATACTCCTTAACCTCTTGCTAACTAACATGGGCCAAGTCTACGTAGAGACGGCTCTGGAAGCAGCTCTTGAGAAGGCCACATCTCAAGAGAACGTGAAGACAGAACCGGATCTTAGCTATCTACCTTCTGTCCGCCCCGCCGTAACGATCGGTAGCATGATGAACCGCTTCATAAATATGGTGCTCATCCGCCTCGCCGAATCCAACACCACTGTACGAAGGAGCATGGAGGCCCAATCGAAGATGGGCATCGAAAGTATCGAGAAGAAAGCTAGTAGCATCATGAAGAGCACTGTGGATGTCATCGTCAACTGGATCTCTAAGTCTCTCGCCCAGCAGAAGAAACTCGACTTCCTACCCAAAGACGAGCTCAGCATCATAGAGTCGCTACAAACACCGACATGCACCACGACATGCTTGTTCCTATCGCGGTGCACGAAGCTCATCGCACAGGCCGTCGACGGCGCCAACCTTGAGGTTTTCAGCAGCGAGCTCGCGCTCGAGATCCAACGCCTGCTCTTTGACCACTTCAAGAAATTCAAGGTCAACGCCACCGGCGGTCTCATGGTCACCAAGGACATCGCCGGCTACGTAGCCGCCCTCAAGGAATGGCCTCTGGCCAAAGACGTCGAGGTTGCCGTCGAACTGCTCACCGAAATCGGTTACCTCTTCATCATCGGCCCCGAGGCCCTGCGCGAACGCTCTCGTAACCTAGCTGCTTCGTCTGCGGGCCCTGCCGCCGCGAAGAAGCTGGCGAAGGCGGATTTCAAGGCGTTTATTCAGAGCAGAGACGATGCGAAGAGTGCGGGTGTGCAGAGCGTCTTGTCGAGCTTGTAGTAGTTGGGGGGTGCAAAGGGAGGAGAAAATGGGAGAAATCAAGCATCCGGACGGGTATCCTAGAATAAACAAGTGGACAACAAAAGAGAACGAGGAAATCGACGTGCCTTTAGGTCGTTTGGATCGCGCACGTCTTATTGCATGTACAATTACGAGATGGATGATACCAAATGCGAGAGAATGAACGCCCCCTATATTCGTAAACTAAGTCTGTCGAACGTAAGATTTTTTTACACCAGGCCCATTTCGCAATTATAGATGAATATCAGCAGCATGGTTTGATTCGCTTTATTGAGATGTTTTATATCATGGCAATGCCGATGAGCAATGCCGATGAGCAGCGCTTACGTCCTCACGCACACAAATCCGGGCAAACACCTAACACCTTTCCACCCTCCCTCCGAACCATTGCGTAAACATTAGGTAGCCAACAACTCCTACTCCTTCCTAGCCACCAACGAACTCGCAAAACCACTACTAGTAGTAGTCCTCATCCACGCGGTAGTCAGCCTAACTAAGTACGCTACGCTACTTAGAAAAGATGGAAGAATACGCCAATCAACTTGCGGAACCAAGTAGAGATAGGATCTTGCTTCAACCGCGCCTTTTTTCTTTTCCTACCCGCCTAATTTAAAACTCCGGTCAAACAATCCATTTCTCCTCCTCGGGGGCCAAGTTCCGCTATCCACGAGCTAGAGCGCATTTCCTTTCCAGGGGTCTCTCTTTCACGTGGTATGCATATAACCTAGCAAATATCCAGACCGTTGCGCTTACAGAAGCCATTTGAATAACTTCCGATGCTATAGCTTAGCTTGGCTTGGCTTATCTTCCCTTAGAAGAAATGCGAGTCTTTAGAGGTCCAGGGCAGCTTTTTCAGCGCCAGTTCCCCTGACTCAGCGACAACAATCCAGCTACACAGTCCAGGTCTCCGCGCTTGGTAGGGCTAACCGAGCCTCGTGGTAGTTTCCTAGGCTCGTCGTCCCCATTCGCGTTCTCCTTATCCTCGAAGATCGCCATGGGCGAATCCCACGGTTTTAGCGAAGGTGCCGTATTGGATCTGTTTCCGAAGAGCGAGCGTTTAGCCGTGTTATCCTGCTCGCCAAGCGGGCGTCCCACGCGGTGAGGGTTTTTGCTTGGAATAGTTTGGTCTTGAATCTTGGGGGAAGGTAACGGTCTTCGGCGATTAGGATTACCCTCCGAGTTTGGGCTCCAGTTCTCCTTGTCAGAATCGCCGGATGGGCTGAGTATGGTGGTGAGACTGCCTTTTCCTGGCTTCTCTAAATCGATCGTTTCCGGTCGAGTGTCTAATAGCGATGTAGGTGGAAGGGTCTGCATACGTGCCACGCTACTAGTTGTGCGGCTGAGTTTAGCTTTCTTAGCTACCCCTTCTCGGTGTGCGGGTTTGTTCTGTGGCGCATTGCGCTTGTTAGGATTGGACTGGAGCACGTTTGCCGTGCTATGGCTATGAAACAGGCTGCTAAGACTAGAGGAACTACTGCTCGATCGCAGAAGGCTAATAGCTGCGAGTGCAGACCCAGAAGACTCGTTCTCGGCCTGCTTCGTTAGCTCATCACGAGTATCTGCTTCGCAGCAGGATTCCCAGGCATGTACGTCCCGAGATCGGCCTCGGGTGAGCTGTGGAGGTAAATGAGCAGTAAGGGTTGAGATGGGTGGGAGAGTGATTCCGGGTAGGGCGCTCCGGCTCCTGTGAAGGGTCCTGTGACTGCGGACCGGAGGTAACGTATCTGCGTCTCCTGATAATTGTATCTGGGCGGGCCTGGGTGGTGACGGGTGAGAGGAAACCAGCTCAGCCTTTCCATCCAGGGAGAGTGATAGACGGACACGAGATGAAGATGCCGATGAAGGCGGTGGAAGAATTGAGGCAGGAGAGCTGCTAGCGGCTGAGTTAAAAGAGGATGAAAACGACTCAAATCTGGTAAAAACATTAGTGGTTCTGCTTGCGTCTGAGAAAGAAGAAAAAAAAGACAGAACATACCTAAACGACTCATCCCCGGCCCGTCCCCAGGTAGAGGGTGTCGAGAAAGAGTTGTCAAAGCTCCGCCGGTTTGCCAAATACGCGACTGACGCTGACGAGATCTGAGAGAGCGAGAGGCTCTCGAATTCGGTCCTTTGGGGCGGGGGTGGTGTATGTCTTCCGCCGTCCTCGGGCTCTGGTATCGCCGACTTATCCATAATAGACGGGTCTATGGCGCTCAGCTTCGGGGAAGAATGGACAGAGTGCTGAGGGCTCGCGTCCTGGGAGCTGAAAGGAGATTTCTCCGAATCGAAGGCTTTTTCGTCTCCCATACGCGTCTCTTCCGGCTGCACAGATGCGTCTTGCGAACTCATTTGTGCAGGGATAGAATCGGATGACAGTATTTGCACACCCCCACCATACCTGAGTGCCGCAATTTCCTGCGGCGAAAGAGGACGCGATTTTCGGCGATCGTTCTGCCGACGGTTCTGGAACCATATCTACGGGTATATTAGACCCAATTCATCCTGACGTAGCTTCTACGAAGTTTCTCACGCGTCTCCGCGGTCATCTACGGACTATACTGACCTGAACTTCCTTTTCGTTGAGTGAGACGCGACTCACGATATCAAGACGCGCTGCCTTGTCAGGTTTCGGGTTCGAGTTGTACGCGGCTTCAAGAATAGCTTTATCTTGTGTCCTATACAGAAGAAATACAAGATGTGTTTAGTACATGCAATGATATAAGCTGGCTTGGGGTTGGGGTTAGGGTTGGGGTTGGGATTGGCTCCGGGGGTACACACGTGGTTCTCTTCCGCTTGCCCTTGGGGTGTTTTTCTGTATTGGAGTCGTGTGTAGGATAGCCGGATTCTAATCTGAAGGAGGATTCGAAAGACATTGTGCTCGAATCCGGATTACTGCTCTGGGAGCTGATTGACCCTCTCGCTTCGCGTGCTTCGCGCACGGGCGGCATGGTGGGAGGTGAGGACGCGGTAGAGTGGGACATTATTGTAGTAGAAGATAGAAGATGACGATTCTAAATATGCATGCTACAAGGTAGTAGACGGGACAGGAAGTAAAACGAGAGACAAGTCCCCTCTACAATCTACAATGGAGAGAAGAGAATAGATGTTGAAGAGGTAATGATCTTGGTCTTGGTCTTAGGCTTAGGCTTAGACTTAAACTTAGGGTTAGGGAAAGGAAAAGAGAAAGAGTAGAGGCTGGTGCTGGAGTAGTAGATGCATTAGTGGGATTAGTGGGTCCATCTTGGCGTGTCAGTCTACACTACCTACATACATATAATGTAATCAAGACCGCGTCTTGAGATCTAATGCATAAAGCTCGGACCATACCTTAAATTGGCCAATCACAGCCCCGATCGCGTTACAGGTCAGCCGAAAAGGGTAACTTATTTACTTGGAGCGTGACCATCTCCAGGTAGACCAGCCCAATTTCTCTTAATTGTTACCAAAACACTGCAAAGCGGAATGGAATGCGCTAAACAAGCGAGAACCCGGTTACTTGCTGGGCTAGAGAAGAACATCAAATGCCAACATCTAGCCACTGTGGATATGATGTCGGCAATTGGTTTTGCGATTAAAGATAACTACCTATGTATCTTGATAGTAGTTGCGAAGTAACATGAGGGGCAAACCCATAGGAGTGCGTGCATAGGCCACAATTAAGGGAATATTTATAGCTACGATGTAGTAATAACCTTAAGCACTCCGAGATCTACAATACATGATATATATAGGTAGGTACCCATTATTATATATAGATGATCGATGGTTCTTACGGTCGAGCTTCACATTATTCCCATATCTCACTCAAAAAAGACACCTAAAGCAGCAGGTAATTACATATGTACACATACCTACACAACGATCAAAACTAAATAGATAAACAAAGCTTAGAGGCTGAACGATGCCTCTCAAGTCCCATAATATAACATTCTCAAGCTTGTGATGTGGGGCCAACACAGCTAATTTAGGGCTTAGTTATGGACGTGATATTAATTCATCTCCTAGAGACAAACCAATATGTGTGTGTATGTATGTACATCGTCACAGTAACCCACGTACCCAAGAGGATCAAAGTCCCTCGTCATTCCCTTCTTCCCCAGCCCTTTCCCTCAACGTCTTATACCTAACAATAGCCTCCATACACTCGTCACGGCTGTACTCCGGGCCCGGCCACCCACAGCTCTGATAGATGTGGCGGACCTAGCGACCATCCCCCTCCGTCGGGAAGTCGTCGTCGTCGTCGTCGTCGTCATCGTCGTGCAGCGGGCCTTCCACGGGGTCCACCGTTTCGTCCTCGTCCAAGATATCCGGCATCTCCTGGATAGTCTCGGTTCCGGGAATGTGGAACATCTGCAGCCTCTCGTACTTCCGCCTGAGATTGCTAAAGTACTCCGTCACATCCCACTCGCCACCCCGGCCGTACCGGATTATCTCCTCGATGATTATGCCCTCCTCCGTGTCTAGCAATAGGACCACTCCGCCGCTCTCGTGGCCCTCTGCGATTACCACCGTGTGTGCCGGTACCGGCCCGTCGGCGGAAGCGGATATCTCTCCGAGCTTGATCCTAGTGCCGCTGAACTTCTCAGGCGTTGCGGTAGAGTAATCGACCACGTTGCATTTATAATGGATGTCGACGTCGTTTTCTTCCCCCCCTTCAATATACGGCAGGTGCTTTAAAAGGTCCACCACGAACGTGTTCTTCCCAAACCCGCTGCAATTCTCAGGCGTGACGTTAGACCAACCCCCTTCAGGCGGGTGCTTCAACGCTGAGTCTGCGATATACATCCTCGTCAGAAACGTGTAGAAGTCGTTAATGATGGCGACGTATTGGTCGCGAGTATAACGAGGCATGTTTGAGAATAAACAATAATTATGCAGTTATCTAATAATAACAAGTGAAGCCTTGATTTACTTAACCTAGAGATATTAGCAGTTCTTGAATTGACTAGGCCATCATATTTGGGCGGCACAGCATCTAATAGCTGCCTATCAAGGGCTTAATGAGATCAGCACATATTATAATGCTTACTGGTCTGTAAGATTTAGTGTTTACTTTGGTAGAGGTCAGCTATGATGGAGTCAACATTTGTCCAGGCATCCATCTATAGCTAAGGTACCCGTAGACATAGAAGGACCGGCTTTACACCGCCTTAGCTAACCCTAACATCGAGCCCACGACCTATCCTACGTCAAACCAACACAGTACGATACAAACGAATTTTGACCCGCTTAGTATAAAAACACATAATTCATTGACAATAGGTATATTCACATGCGATTAGATCAGTTCAGTACAGGCCTCGTAATAATCCTATTCGTAAGAGTCTAGCCTAATCGCCATCGTTGCGACTGACAATGTAAAGACAGTACAATACTCGTAATATGAAGTATTGCCTCCGCAAATCTATAATGCCCAACAAACGAAAAATCAAACGGCTACTTGCTAAGGAAGAGCCTTGATTATCTTCTCCACGGAAACTCCTAGCTTGACGCCAATGAACTCCTTGAGGTGTATCGAGATCACCTGAATCCTCCTACCACGTACGCAGTGAAAACCAGACATAACTGCGTGTAAAACCCCAACATCTAGCTCTAATCGAGACTCTAAATCTAAATCTCTACATGCCCAGAAGGCTCATTTGTCGTCGTAAAGGACTCGCGCTGGTGCTGCCATCTTCACTTGCATAATATGCAGAGTCGGTATCGATATCCCATTCCGGCTCTTCGTCTTCATTGATGGAGCCGCCAATTTTGCTCTCGAAGCCTTTCTGGGTAGCAGCTCGCGTGTTCCATTGAAGCGTGCGAGAAACGCTATCAAACCATTCGGTCCCGGTACGCATCACGGTGGGGAAGGGATACTGAGAAGCCGTGATCGTCACACAGTCGCCCTGCTTCAGTTCTACCCTGCCTTTTCCATCAAATGCACAGTACGCTGTTGCGCGGGAATTACGCGGGATAGACACCCGAAGTAGCAGCGTGTCACTAAGCACCATCGGCCGGAAAGACAGTGTGTGCGGGCAAATAGGAGTAAGAAGAATGGCAGGAAGGTCAGGGCTGACCAGAGAGCCGCCCGCGGAAAGGGAGTATGCAGTCGATCCAGTTGGTGTGGAGAAGATGCACCCATCCGCTTGGACAACGGTTAAGAGCTCGTTGTCGCCGTATAACTCAAGGTTGGAGACATAAGGGGATGGGCCGCGGTCGATGACTAGCTCGTTAAGAACTTCAAATTGCTCACCCTCTTCCATGTCCGGACCCGACGTGCCGTTACGGAAGACAGTACACGTGAATCGCATACGAAGGTTGACACGCATACCATCGTCACCCATAACTTTGTTGAGATGCTGCTTATACTTCTCAAATTCGAAGGTCGTTAAGAAGCCAAGGCTTCCCAGACTAAACGACAAGACGGGAGGAACAACTCTTTGGAAGAGCCAGGACGTAAAAAGTACAGTACCGTCACCTCCAAGAGTCAAAACGAGGTCAAATTTCTCCGGGCTACTCCAGCAAAGGTCCGGAGACCAGTATCGAAGCATGGACTCAAAGCGAGGGTCTTCGTCCACAATGCTAGAGGCACCGAACCGCTTCGAGTTGCGTAGTTTCGCATCAACATAAACGTTGACTCCTATATCTGAGCCATATCGAGGAGTTCTCAGTAGCCACATGGTAAGTTCCCTAGTCAGATACACCAATTCATTATCGCGGGCTTTGGTGACGATCATGACACTGCGGACAGCTCGACGGATGGGCCGGCGTTGCAGTTGCTTCGACACCTCACGAACGCCGGTAGCAGTCTGCACTAATCTCGAATGAGACATCCACTCGTCATTTTTTATTTCCTCGAGGACCTTATCAATATCGACTGCGTCATCAAATCGGTTGTGGTAAAAGCACGGTGACTGAAGAGAGGGGAATGCGGTGGTCGGAGTTATGTTTCGGGCGGCAAGCTCGGATAGAGCGTCAGAGAGTTGTTGAGAGGACGAATTGCCAGGTCGTTTATCGACCGCCGAGTGGGCGGACAACATGTCGTTTAATGATAATGCTTCGGGTTTATTATTCCGTGCGACAGAAGCCAGTGCTTTCATAAGAGTCTGGCGGGGGACGGCATCGACAGAGGGTGCGTTCTTGCGGTGTCCGCGCGATTGATGATTATTGGAAATGGCGTCTGTACCTTTTATGGCTAGAGCAGAATGCTCAGATTTTGTGTCGTTGCTGTCAGCATGGTGGTGGGATTGAGAAGTAGAAGGGAAGTGCGGCACAGAGTCGGACTTTGTAGGCGAGCCTGATTGTCGCAGGGGTTGATCTTGGTCATGGTCTGGAATGGCTATGATGGAAGTGGATTGCTTAGAAACGGGGCCGACAGTGACCCCGACCCCTCCGTCAGCTTCCTCCAGCGTGTTACTAGTATTGTTACTCAGAACAGGATGCACCCCCATTGTTGGCGAACCCAATAACCCTAAATTAGGCATGGCTCCACACCCTTGCACCTAGGCAAAAAGTATCGATACGGTCTAACAGAAACAACGAAATCCGAAGATAGCACAGAGGTCCTACGCTACCTATGTCCGAACCGTGTAGGATTAATTTAGAACCGGTACAAATGTCTCGATCGTTTGAATCCGATTGCCCGTTGTACAACGAAAAGCACTAAAATAATACTTTGTCAGCGGGAGATTCCTATATGAGACAGCACGTGTACGAAGTAGGAGAGGGGGGCCATATTCTGGTTTATAATAGCCAAGGTAACGAAATCTGGTGCTGATGGTACTCGGCAAAATCATGCAGTGACGGCACACTATAGGCGCTTCACCTCCGAGACATAGCAAATCATACGCAGTAAAACTTACAAAGCTATTCCCGAGGTATGTTAGTCCCGTGATATCGAGACACTAGATGTGATGACGATATGATCACAACAGCGACAGATTTCCGGAGACCGAGTCGGCGAGTATGTTGTCTTAGGACGCACAGAAGATGTGAGGGTTGGCTCTCGATTAGTATTAGATGGTACGCTCCGTTTAGGATGAAGCTATCCCGCTAATGGCTTGTTCTTGTGATCGAGGTGAAGGGCAAAGTCGCCGTGGAGGAATTCGCAAATATCGAGTAAAAGGTCCGTCGAGGAAAATTAACGATGTTGGGATTGATAGAAAACCGAATTCCTGAGGGATGTATGTTATTAAAAAAGAATAAGAATGAAACAACTCGAGTTCAACTCTACGAGAGACTATGTGTTGGTAGACAGAACTAAGGTAGCAGCCAGGCCGGGAAATAGTCAAACGCAAAAATTAAAGGGCGAGTTGGCAAGAACTTCCAGAGTTCTGCTTTGCTGTTCTCACAAACAGCTAGTTGAAAAGAAAGGCTTGGGGTCTGGTGACTGAAGATCCGGTTAGACGAAACTCGAGAATTCAGTCGTGCCCGACTCACTTATTAAGATAAATCAGCTACCTGGTGATAGAGATGGAGGACCGGCTGTGGAGATGCTTGAGCAGTACCTCCGTGCATGGACTGTGGAGTAGCAGTTGGGTGGGGCAGGTAAGGGACCGGCTCGAGTGGGGGGATATAATAGTATGTATTTAAGTACCCAAGTACTCTCTAGTACGTAGAATCCTTACGTACGCGGTTCTTTGTACATAGAAGGATGGCACTAGCAAATGAGAGAGATAGGAGGGGATAAGGGGGATAAGGGGATAAGGGGATAAAGGAGGATAGGAGCTGTCGGGAAGGCTGCAACTTCAATGTTCGTATACCAGATCTAGTAGTAAGGCCCGAGGTGACAGCCGCCACCCCATACGTCGCTGCATAGTCTGGTCGCTGCAGTGTCTTGTACGTATCTCGATTCTCGAAAAGCCATGGAAAATTGGAAAATTGGAAAATGGAGGGTACGTGGCGGGTTGTTTGACCCACCATCACTAGTACTTCTCCTGTTTTCCCTAACAGATGCTGTGATGTCTTTTCGCGCCAGGTCTCACGTTGTAACTCTTACGCAGGGGTGCGTAAGCGAACGCTGCGTTAAGGAGACTAGACTCGTCTCATCTTTTCCAGCTGTCCAATGCTCCAATGCAGGACTTGCAAATGTTCCCGGATTACTTGCAACCGATCGTCTCAATCGACAAATCAATCAGCTGGAAGCTGACGGGGTCTCTTGAGCCTCCTTGACCTCATACAGACATCAGCATAATGCTGATTTGTTTTAGGCCTTCACTTGAGGACGAATCCTGCGTCTGGAACATCATCGAGCAAAGTGGCCTCCCCTGCGAAGATCACACATCCAGAAACAACCACTAGCCGCCACTCCACCAACATGAACTCCACTGCATCACAAATAAATCGAATTTCGGTAGGATTGTCAATTCGTCTTTTCGGTACCTCGTAAAGGTCCTAGCTGAGAAAACGTGGCTACGAACAATATGCGCTGTGAATCTTTGCAGACGCATCTTGCAGAGCCTGCCATGCTATCACCACCGCACTCGATTGGTGCTCGGCACGAAGCGCTTTCTTTGTTTCTTAATCCCTATGACAGACTCGTTAGTTAGCCCAGCACACATGTCAAACTCTTGGCTAATATTGGCAACGCGTATACCTAGTCATTAGCTTCCTGGGATGCTGCCGTTTTTCCCGTCCGCGTACCAAAGGAACTATCCGATCAACATCGCCATGCTAATGTAAACAAGAACCCCATTAACTAGCCAGATGATCCACCGCACCCGGCAGAAGATCTCCAATCCATAGCGTCTCCATGAAAGCGATGCGCCGATTCGGGAGTATCAAACATGTCTGAGCGGGACTAGACCAACGTACATTACTGACCGCCAATCCAGCATTGATGCCGTAGATTCTAGCCAGTCATATCCGCCCGTGTTAATCCAGGATGTACGGTATAGAATCGGTCACTTCCAATGTAAATCCGAGGCTATTTTCCCCTCCAGCGTAGATCGCGTAAACTGCTTCAAGTCCGCGCCAGGTAAGCTACCATCATACATGAGGGTATCTCTATCGCCCGTAGTGACGGGAGGGCAGCATTGACGTTGAGCGACGGCAAAGACATCATCCCATTCCTTTACCGTGAAGCTACCTTCACTTTCTGCAAGTATTAATTCATCATGCGAAGTAAACGAGAAGACATGGAATGATTGCGATGTTTCAATCTCTCGCGGCGAAGGGTTTAAGACGACTTTCTTCGATTGACCATCAGCGATGATAGCCAGGGAGGCCGATATCAGTGTCGCCGTCAACGGAAGGGCAGCAGAGAGGAGCGAGAGCACCGCTGTTTGTAGTAGAGTAGGTAAAATAGGCAGGTTCTGGAATATTGCACGTCCGGTTAGTATGCCTTCTTTTTTTTCTTTCTTCCTCAAACCCTATATTGAATTGCAGCTTACTGAGGTAGCCTGTGCTACTTTGGCATTTACATATTCGTTCTCGGGCGTAGTGGTGACTTGTAAAATAACCTGGATTAGGGTCCTCGGGAAGTTGTTGACGAGGATGATCTGACGCAAAGTCGACTGGATCAGTGACTCCAAGTGCCTTTCTCTAGTGCCTACAAAACAGCGATGGTGAGCTGTGTTTATATATATATAAGGGTCAGTGTGCTTCAAAGGAAGTCATACCTCCAACCCCTGCAGCTGGTCGTACGATCACGTCGACGGCCGCCTCCTCTGGGAGCTCGTCTCGTCTCTGAACCTCGATCGGCCCATTGACAGCCCCAACCACGGTATAGCCAGCAAAAGAGAAAGTAGCGGAGCCGTCTGAATTTTGCAGGTGAGACAGTAGTGCTTCTGGTTCAGTATTGACCGTCATTTTCGTGAGGAATTGCAAGGGGGTTTCTTGGTTGTAAATGGTGTTTGCGCAAAAATCGGAATGGTAAGTGAGGTCTTGATCTGACGATTAGGATTGAACTTTTTCTCAATTAGGTAAGGATCTGGCAGCCAAGCAGCCTGTAGCCTACATATATACATAGGTAGGGTAAAAAATCCGGGCGCGGCTGCATTTCATAGGATACAAGTATGTGTGTTGTACTTTAACCCCGCCAAAGTTGTACTTTTACATTGTGCAGCTGTGGTCCAATACATAGAAATAACAAAAAGATACTCACAACTTCCATTTTCTTCATTGATTCGATATATGAATTTATTATTCAGTAATACGTGATTACAGAGGGGTGGCGTACCTTACTTTCATTATTACACCTGCATCTCTTTATAATCAACTCATCATGATTGCCTTGAGATAGGTCTGATCAACATTTTTATAAATACCATTCCTGGTTCTATGATTAAAGCTATCATGGCTACTCAAAATCCCCCACAAATGATACCGAATCTTAAGGATAAGATCCCGAAGTTAGAGCCGCGTCGTCGACGACCTCCACCATCAAACCCTCTTCCACCACCAGAAACGCCTGCTTTACCGCCGCCACCAGACCCTTCATCTCATTCATTCCAGGTTCCCACCCGGCGAATCCTGTCTACCGGGGACCACAAACTCTTTCTCTCATCACAAACTCACACCCTCATTCTAGCATTTGTCTTCGGTCTCGCAGATGCTGTAGTAGATACTCCTATATCAGCTATCAAGGATGACGACTGTAGTCCCATCATCAAATCTATCATTGGTGTTCTCGATGAGGTTGAAGCACTAGTTCTAGCCACCCCTCCCGACGATGCCGAAGGGTCGCGGTTTGGAAACAAGGTTTTCCGTACCTTTCTTGACAAGGCTAAAACTATCAGTCCATCTTGGCATAAGAAGCTCGGCCTGACATCTCAAGATGCTATCTCAGAGGTCGAGACATACCTTAACCAGTCTTTTGGCAACCGGACCAGAATAGACTATGGCTCAGGTCATGAATTGAATTTCATAATATGGCTATTGTGCTTATACCAGCTCCAGATTGTGAAGAAAGCCGATTTTAAAGCACTGGTCCTCAAGGTCTTTACCCGGTATCTAGAGCTTATGCGAACAATTCAGTCAACATACTACCTCGAACCAGCTGGTTCCCACGGCGTTTGGGGTTTGGACGACTACCAATTTCTACCATTTCTTTTCGGAGCTAGCCAGCTTCTCCATCACCCTTTCATCACCCCAATGGCGATACACCAGGAATTAACCCTAGAAGAATTTGGCCATGACTTCATGTATCTTGGCCAGGTGGACTTTGTCAACAGCACAAAGACTGTCAAAGGCTTGCGTTGGCATAGCCCGATGCTAGACGACATCTCATCAGCGAAGAACTGGACCAAGATCGAAGGCGGCATGAGAAAGATGTTTGTCGAAGAGGTGCTCAAGAAATTGCCAGTGATGCAACACTTCCTCTTCGGTTCACTGGTGCCTGCTGTGGAGGGTATGAGCACCGAGTCTGAAGCAGGCATATCGAACGAAGAAAATGAACCTGAAGGTGGAGGCGTAGTTGTCGAGCACGACGGGGTGAAGCACGTGCACAATGGCAGCAGCTGGGGCGATTGCTGTGGGATTAAAGTCCCTAGTGCAATTGCCGCGGCTCAGGCGATGCGGAAACAAGGCGCCGGGGAGCTACGCCGGATACCGTTTGATTAAGTTCCCCCCGTTGCTCCCAAGATGAAGACGATGTTATGATAGAACGTAAGGGCATGGGTCCCTGATGCCTCAATAGACTTTCATGATTGCGATGATTTATACTGCAATATCGAGGTATAATATTTGGTATCGTAATCTCAATTAGTAGTGGTGTTTTGAACGGCATGTATATCATACATATACATACCTATGGCAAACTTAACCGGTGGTATTTACAACCCAGGAACTCAATCGGAAAGCTACGAAAGCAATCAAAACTAGGGTCATATATCACAAAGTAGTTTTCAACTAGACGTGTAATTGGATGATACTAACACCTTACAACCATGGCCATGATTCATAATCCTACCTAAGTTAACTACTTGTCTGGTGTCCCACCACTAAGCAAAAAACCAAAGGGTATCCTTCAGTACGAAACGCAGTTAACCAAGCCAACCGTTCACAAAACAGACATTCGAGCTCCGTAGTAAACAAGCACACACTACCACTCCAAGCGCCATCACGCAAAGTCAACTACGCAACTTTAAAAAAAAAAACCCCTAGTCCTTCATCCCCTCCCCCCTCCCTAACTCTCCCGATACAACTTCATCAAATCCGTCCTCATCTTCTGCCTCGCCTCCCCATCCAACCTCCTCTGATTCTCCAGATCCGCAACCCGCGCCTGCAACTCCGCGATCCTCGCCTCCGCCTTCTTAGCCGCCTCGCGCGACGCATCGCGGCCTCTCTCGAGGCCCCTGGCGCGCGCCGCGTGCCGATCCAAGACGCCCCTTATCTTGCGGCGCACGGCACCGTCTATGTTCTGGTCGTACAGGAGCGCCATGACTTCCTGCGTGAGCTCCCGTTCCTTGCCGGGCGTGGCGGGGTCTTGTTGTTGTTGCTGTTGCTGTTGCTGCTGGGAGGACGGGGATGCGGCTAGGTCCCGCTTGGGAGTGGTGGGGGAGGAGGGGTCTGTGAAGAGCACGCGGCGGACGGGCTTTTCGGTCAGCGGGGTTGCCATGCCGTCTTCGATAAGGGTACGAGAGCCGGAGGGGGTGGCGAAGGCGTTGCGCTGCTTGGTTGGGGGTTGGGCTGAGCTGTTGGCTAGAGCAACGAGTTCCTGCTCTTCGCCGGAGGAGAGGTCGCTATACTCCTCGACATCCGACCGTTTTCTCTTCGGCTCTGCTGATGGCGTGTCTGGTGTCAAATCAGTCTGCGCCTGAGCGTCGTCCGAGGTGTGAGCTGAGTCATCATCTTCGTCTGATGAACCGCTCTTCTTTACACTTTTGGCCACCTCCTTGGTGCTGGACCTAGTCTTCATAGTCGAGCTTTGAGCCGTCGCAGAAGGAGAACCGGGGTTAAGCATACAGTCTAGATCTGCTAGACTAGTAACAGGAGTCTTCCCCTGTCGCTTCTCTTTCGCCGGAGTTATGCTCTCATGGAGCGTTCGCTGCCTCTTCTTAGGCCGCCGGCTGGGGGTCCCCTCAGCCTCGCTGCGTGAATTAGTCAGGAGGTTATTAACTTCGCGCTCGTGGGCGTCCTCAGTCCACAGAAAGAAATTGCATTTATTCTCCTTGTTTCTATCCTTTTTACAAGCGTAGAAAGTTCGTCCCTTATTGGGGGTCTCTCTCTTAGCCAGGTACTGGATTGCGGGAAGGCGAGGAATACAGTTGCCTAGTGTTGCGAATGATTAATTCATTAGTTTGTCGTGTGGTAACTAGCAGATACCATCTATTAAGTTCAAGACATGACTTACAATACCAAATACCGTTTCTAAAATGCCCACTCAGTGGGACTTTGCCCGACGGACTAGGAGCGCCCGACCGTCGCATCTTGTTAGGTAAGCTTCTTTGATATTGTATTTATTCTGAGGCATGTATTTGCCTCAATTGACTATGTATTTGTAATCATATGATATGAACTCAATACAAGTATCTTTGTCCGAATCTAGACCATTGGAGTTGTAAACGGAATGGTTGCATAGCAATGACGATAAACTTCAAAGATTAGGAGCAACGGCGGGTGGGGAATTCTTTAGTAGTGCCAGGTGGTTGGGGATGGGTTGACAACCGGTTGTAACTACATAAAGCTGCATAATAAGTGGACCCGGAAAGCAACCGCGCTAGTATAACTCCTATGCACATACATAGGTACATAACCTAGTGTATTACCCGTAAAGCTTGGCAGAAGCATCCGCGGCGCATCGTAGGGCGTTCAGTAGATATAGATATGTCAGGTAACTACTGAATAAATTCAGGCGAGCTGGACTGTTAAACTTACAAGTATAGTAGGAGTTTTATATATAAACTTATGGCTCCCTTAAGTCAGGCTTATCCTATGTTAAGTAGTCCTAAAATACAGCTGATTACAAGTCGATTATTTACATTATCGAGTCTTAATTCAGTCGTGGGTATATCCTCTAAGAGTACAAAAAACAAAACGTGGTATCCTCGGACAAAAACGATCTGCCATAAAAGCCTCGTTCCCTGCGGGCGAGTCTGTATGCCGATTGACGTTGAAATCAGTGTAATAGTACTACTCCTTCTGCACCCTGGATCGTAGAGTTGTGCTAATAGTAAGTATGCCACCCAAAATCGATGCTTCCCGATGCTTCCCGATGCCTTTACATGTTCGTGGAGGAAACCATATTAAATTTCGTACCAATAATCGTCATTTAGTTCCTCTCTACTCGGCACCACACCAGCACCCTCTGGTGGGCCCATGTAAGTGGCTTCCATCCGGACATTCAACAGTCTGATCTTCATGCCATAGTCTTGTACTAGCTTGATGAGCTTATTAGTCTCTGCTGTTATCGGTGTTTGGCCTAGCAGCATTAGCAAGCCGTCGAGCCACTCCGATGCTAGGCTATGGTTCAAAGGATGGAGAGTGAGCAATGGCTCCTCTTTTATGTCGCTCAGGTCTTTAGCTTTATTAACCTCGTCAACATTGAGATATCCAAAGATTGTAATCTTTGTGCTGTTGCTCGTCTCGCCGCCCGCGTCGCCAGACGGAGCAGATACGTTAGACGCGACAGAACTGACTTCTCGTAGATCTACCTTCTCGCTAAGCGAATCCAGATTCGGCTCCGGCCCGGTTCGGAACGCAAAATCGGCCCAGTGCAGATAGCGGCGATTGTGCGACAATTTAGCGTACCTCCAAAGTGTACCATTAGCTGCACGACGGTTAGGTGCGTTATTCCCTTGGTCTTCTTTTCGCGTTGATGGCTTCGAAAACCAGCAACCTTGTAAGAGACACCGGACACGTTGTTCCTTGATAAACGTGAGGGCCTCCTGGTTTAAGCCTTCCCGCACTTTGTAAAGGTGCTGGCCCCATTGGTCGTCAAACGAGAGTTCTAGGAGCTCCATTTGGAGCTCGCGCAGCCGCCCTAAGTCGTATTCAACTAGATCCTCCTCGACCTCTAAGACGTCCTTCGATCGGCCAGCCTGTCCTACAACCTGGTCGATAAGTATACGAACCAATTCTGCCACCTTCTCAAAATCGTCATGTTCCGCGCCCGTAGATTTCCATAGCTTGAAGAATGCATTTAAACCGGCTGTGTGTAATCTAGACCATTGGAGAAGCAACGGTCGGAAGAGTTTGTCTTGGTGTTTTCCGTCTGATAATTGATATCCTCTTAGATCTTCCATTTCTGATTTATCACAATCGAAATGTTCGTACAAAATAAGGGTAACTGCCAAGCTGGACCTGGCGATAGGACAACGTTCGTGGAGAGGCTTGGTTGATTGCTCCATAAGTAACTTCTGAAACCCATCTTCGTTCTTTCGCACGTAGTCCGCAAGATCCATAAGCCCAAGGAACCCCGTATTATTAAACTCTGCCGCCGGGCCCTCAGTCTCGAAGCCAAGCCTCCTCCACTTCTCGGGATTGTGTCTTCTGCTGCCCTTCTTTCCGGACTCCTGAAGCTCTTCAACTTTCCCTACACCGTTCACATGATCTCTATTTGGCGCGCTGGCAAGATGAAGCCCTTTTAACGCTCTCCTGTGTTCGGGTCTTTCAACGTCAACCTGAACCTGCCGCCACTTTTGAAGCAGCACCTTCGTAAGAGACTGAAACTCCAACAGCGGGTGTGCAAGATCTTGCAGTGCCGAACTCTGCATCAGGTTGTATACTGCCTTGATTAGACCCAGATCTTGTAATCTCCTTATAAACTTAGGCCATTCTTCCCCAGTACCAGCTGTCTTACCACTGTCTAGACTAGACTCGCCTGAGACAGCATCCCTTATGAGAGCGTTGATCAACATAAGTGCGTTGGCGCAGAGGGCGTGGTCCGCCGAGTTTAATTGCTGGATGACAAGGTCGAAGAACTGTGGATACACGGCGACAGCTGGCTTTAATGCGCGAAAGCCGAAGGATACAGGCACCCGTCCTCCAGATGAGGTAGACTGCGAATGGCTGACAAGTGCGACGAGAATGGACATAGCACCTCGAAGAATGTTGACCAAAGGATTTGTGACGATGAGTTCGACAACGCGCTCAACTAAATCACCTGCAGTTGGACCCTCGAAGATATCCCATCCCATGTCCACCTCAAGCAATCGACTAAGACTTTGTAGCGAATATGCGAGGGTATTGCCGCCGGTACTCATGATGAGACGCCGTAGTATAATTAAACCGCCAGAGGAGATGAATACATCGGCGAAGGAAGGGTCATTTATAGATGACTGCAGTTTGAAAACTGCCATTTTCCGCGCGGCATCTTCGTCGCTAGCCAACCGCGACAGCAATGCCGGTATGTCTGCCTGGTCCATGGTTGTGGTGTTGGAAACGCGATCGGGCAGGTTTGCGAATGTGAGGGCGGAGGGGCAGCGGTCAATCGCAGGGGGAAATCGGCATGAACCAGCGCGACGTGGCTGCTGAAGGGCTAAAAAAGCTCAACAAGACACTATAAATACATAATCACATTAACGAGTTACCATAATACACCAATGGTATATGTAGGTTTTTTTTTTTTTTTGTTGCCAGGTGAATGAATGCTGCCGACAGTTGACCTTTGTCAATGCGGCTCGACAAATATGGAGTAGGGAAAAAGCAGGATAAGGAGTGTCGAGCAATGGGCGCATTGAGCTCTGGAACAAATCGAACTAATCGGTGCAATGTTGGAATTAATACATAGCAGATTGGCAGATTGGGTAAGGGGAGCCGACGTTTTGACGTGGGGCAGTTCCTATTCCGTGCTTGGCTTCCAATTTTGTACGTACATAATATCTGCACATGCAAGGAACCGGATTCCCCAAAAGAACGGTAAAGTTTAGGGGTAGCGCAATGTCTCACTTGCATATATGTAC